GGAAATAGTTCCACCTGTTCTAATCTTCACGGTTAAGGAATGTAGTTCGTCTGAAGACTCTCTATGGAAATATCGATAGAGCAGTGAGAGACTTGCGATGTTTCATCTGTGAGAAAAAGGGTTATTAGATGGAAAATAATTCATTACCCATAAGGACACTTTTGGACTCTATCGAGAGTGGAAAGTGAAGACCTCGCAGTTCCGGCCCATATATGGCAACAGTACTCCGATTTTGCTCTAATCTGATTCTTGTAAAGGTAGAGGATAGCAGGAGGAGTCAGGTACTTACCGGAGCGGTAAAATATCCGTTCAAAATGTAGGCAATCATGACTTTTCACTGATTCCTTTTCTTTAGGCTATGTCTTCTTGCGAGAAATAGTGTCGTTGTTTGCCATTGTCTCCCCGATTTTGAATTCTGAGTTTTTGCTCTTAGTCTTATAGCCAAAGGTTAGAAAGACAAGTTTAACCTTCTATTTAACTGAAAGCTTGAAGGAGAAGAGATGCCTTTTTTAACTGTATAAAAGTATATATATATGGGAACACATGGCCGAGTGGTTAAAACATTCGCATTCTGACCATAAGATCGGGGTTCGAGTCTCACCACGGTCGATTTGTCAGGAAGGAATCGATCTCAGCATGCGGCACCTTTGAAAAGTGCATGAAAACCATATCACGGATTGATCCAAACGGAACTCTTGGGTGCCGTCTATAGCTGTGCTAGCACGAAGTCACTAGTCATCGTGGTCGAGGGCTTGAGCGTGCTGGCCTTGTTCAAATTATTACGCTAGATAACACGCTACTTTTCCAGAAACTGTAACTAAGGTCTGCTCAGCATAGTTGCAGTATAAAACACAGGTGGGTCTGTGGGTGTTGAATAAATATAAATACGCCTGATTATCATCTGCAATAGGGAGTGGTTAGAAGACGGGTATCTTGTCTTCGAATACGAGTGGCCTGCTTCACATATATAGAGGTATGAAAGTGAATGCAACTGACTAGCCACTAATTTGAATTCAGTTCTCCGATTTCACTATATGAAAAAAATTTGAACATTTTTTTCTTTTACTTTTTGGGAGAGCTGCATTTCTTGTAGATTACACTTTTCCTTATTTGAAAGCCTTTTCGCGACTATTATGGGCATTAATCTAAACCTTTATATTACACTTTTTTAATCAAGACTTTTATATTACACCTTTTTTTTTTTACAAATCCCGGATATTTAGTCAGTTGCCCACTTCCTATCAATTTCACTTTTCATTTTGCAGGACCAGTCGCTACCTAATGTTTTTATTTATTTCACACTAATAATAACTGATATTTTTCACTGGAGATCATATATTGTTTCTCAACCTTTTTAAGCAACGGCACACGTCTAGCAAAGTTTTTAAAGGGAATACATTTAAATGTAATGAAATAAAACTATATATTTAAAAAATATGCACACACAAATATAAACTTACTTTATTTCATTGTTTTTATTCAACTATTTGTGCAGCTTATTTAGTCTGAAACCTATTCCTGGTGGGTTTTTTCGCGATTTCTTCAATATTTGGTCGAATATGTGATAAGCAGACCCCTATTTTTTCTTCAGCTGAACGTAGTCTTTTTCGCTTCTTACTTTTGATGTTATTTAGGGTTGAGAAGCCTAATTCACATAAATAAGAAGTGGAAAATTGCAGTAAAGCCTTTTTAGCTAATGTGGGATATTCCTTTTTTATTGAAATCCAAAATGTATCAAGAATAGTGAAAAGAATTATTTGAAAAAAAAACAACTTATTAATTTATTTATATACTAACGCTCTATCATACACTCCTCCCATACACACATATTTATATATGTCTACCGTGACAATATTTCACGACACACTTAAAACGGTTAAGAATCACTGTTTTAGAAGCAAGCCTCCTTCATACTCAAAGACACTCTTTGGTATTGTAGCTGTTTTCAGAAATGCTACCGTCTATGTGGATTACATTGGATTTCTAGTTCTTGACGACAGTTACGAGGTTCTTCAAGACAATTCTAAGCGCGCCAAATCAATGGTCAAATTGTCATCTTATTATATTTTTTATACATGTCTTCCAATTTCATTCTACTACTTAATCACATCAATGGGTACTTATATCTTTAGTTTCTATATTTTTTTGCCATTTCTTGCTTCAGCTTCATCACCAGTATTCTCATCATCCTTCTGTAGAACCTGTCCAAAATTTAAATCAGTTTTAGTTTTTATTTATTCAAACTTTATAGAGAGGCTATTTTAAAGGTTCTAGGGATCCTACCTGGATTTATTATCGATGATGACAATCTTAAGAATATAATATACGTAGATGACACTGCGATGGTAGCAGATACAGACAGAAAACTACAGGACCGCCAAAACAGTCTAGTAAAGAAAAGCGTGAAGGAGGGACAAACTGTCAATTGTAGGAAGACAAACGTTTAAGTAAATAAAAAAAATGAAAATGCGAGCTACGAATTAGAGATGTCAGAATCAAAATTCTTCTTTTATGTTCCGTGTCCCCTTAGAGGATTGACGACCATGGATTTCCACAATTCCTTGAAAGGATTCTAGGTCTTAATAAATTTGGCCTTTTTGCTACCTCTTCTAAACCTGGTTCTGCTATTCATTTTCATAAGCTAAATTACTCAGTTTTTCTCTGTTCTCCTTGCTTTTAATATGTTCTGTGCGTGTCAAGTTTTCCGAGCTTTCTTTCCTCGTTATATGTCTTAGAAATTTCCACTGTCTCTTTCTGATTCCAAGTATCACTTTTGTTTCCATTTTCCTTAAAACTTTCTCGTTACTCACAGGCTTCCTCCATGGAATTCTCATCATCATCCAGATTTCTGTTGACTCAAGTTTTTTTTTTTTCATATGTGAGTAGATCGTCCAACATCCACTACCATAGAGGAATATTGAACAACTGGGTACTCCTTTTTTTTTGTTTCTAATAAGATTAATACTTTGCTTAGCTTTTGGAAGGCTTCTTTCGCTATTCGAATGAGCCTACAGATTTCGGCGTCATAGTTTGTCTCCTCCCTTAGAACACTTCCCAGATATTTTAACATAATGTTGATAAAGGTTTAAACTTAATTTTAGCATCCGCATTTCTTCCTAATTGCCCAGCATTCACTGCTGTGTAGGAGAATAGATATAGCAGTTCTGCACTCTTCTTTGTTTCTAACGAAATTTTCCTGTTTCTTAATAGTTTATTTAGCTTCTGAAAGACATCATTCCCTATTTCATTACGCCTTCGAATTTCTATATCACATTTAGTCTCTCCTGTCTTCTACAATACTTCCTAGATATTTAAATTTCAGTATTTTTCTTGATTTTGATTTCGTAGATTCCACCTTAGGATCCCTGCCTTACAACCATATAGTGTCTTCATAAAATCAGTGGTTAGTCCTTTCTTCCCGCTTTCCTTTACTAGTTGAGGAACTCCTGTAGGTTTCTTTCTGTGTCTGCCTAGAATTTTAAAAAAAATAACGTTTTAAAATTTAGGATATGTAGTATTCGCTGGCCGTTCGTATCCGAGTATGCCTGTCAACATGGGTGGCTAGAAATCTCTGTTGCAGACGCCTGCTCAGGCACATTTATAGTTGTTCAACACCCACAAAGCCTACCTGTAGTTTATACTATAACTATGCTGAGCGAACCTTTCTAGGAGCCAGCGCATTATTCGACGTGATCAACAGTCTGAACAAGGTTAGTACGATCAAACCTCTTATGACTTCGTGCTAGCTCAACCATTGACGGCTCTCAAATAGTTCCGTCTACCCAAGTTCACTTACAAGGCTTGGATCAACCCGTGGTATGGTCTTCAGGCAATTTCCGAAGGTTCTACATGCTGCGATCGCCTCCCTGAAGCCGATGACATCAAGAAATCACTTTCATGACAAATCGTCCATGATGAGATTCGAACACGGATCTCATCGTTGGATCGTGAATGTTCTAACCCTTCATGTAGGTAATTGAAATTAGCATATATTTATTAGAATAGATACTCACTTGGGAAGTCAGTAGCTATTTGGTTAGAATCTTTAAGAAAATAGCTGATGAACAGGTCAGCCCATAATTTTCTTCAAGATATGTGGGCAAATATACTATGACATTTGTTGTAATGACTTCAAGTCACACTATCAAAAATGTTGCTGTTTCATGTTCAATGTAGGTTACACCTTTCCGAATATAAATATCTCTAAATTATCTTATCACCTAGGTCTCTGTGAATCATCTCTATCAAATTTTTATAGTGACATAAATGATAAGCCTGTAAAACGACTTTAGACGAATGACAATAAAAAGAAAAATAGTTGAACAAGTCAAAAAGAACGTTCACGGTAGAATTGAGTGGGAGATAGGCCAGAAAAAGTAAAATGCAATATAAGTTAAGGAAAAAAAAAGTCTTACTGGTAAAACAAATACATCCTACAATCACGTTCTGTATTTTCAAGTCCAGCTAAAGTGTAAAGGTAGGGGCTTAATTAAGTTTTATTTGGCTATTTCACATATGCGATAGGGAACAGAAAATTATGTTTCACGTGGAGACCGTAACAGACTTAAGATACCAAAATACAAAGAAACATGGGAATAGCGAAATATGGCTTCCAAGAACTTTTTAAAAAGTATTAAGAAACGGGAAAATTTCTTCAGAAACAAAGTAGAGAACTGAACTGCTATGTAATATCAATGGACGTCAATGCCGGACAATCTCCTCACAGATGATTGATTCATTTTTTTCTTGCAGTTTATCAACACTTTACAGGTTATATAATGGCAGAAAATATTTTTAGATGGTAAAAATCTTTTTTAGATAATAATTATTTAATGATACAAATCTTACTGATTAACCCATAGCAGGAAGAGAAGAGATAAATTCATACCTTTTCCCCATATGCGAGTAGGTGAATATAATGAACACAATTGAAATTGGGACTCGGCTCTCCTATTAACAATTTCAAGACATTATCCATTGCACCACCCGCACATTCAAATTTACAGCACCTGGTATTCGCAAGTAGTCACCCATCTAGGTACTGATCTGGCTCGGCGTTGCTTAATTTTGGTAATCGTACGGGAACCGATGTTTCAACGCTATATGGCCTTAAGCCCTCACAGATGAGAAACTTAACAGAGATGTAGTTCTACAGAAGTGTAAAATCGTTTTTCTTGGTAATATCTCACAGTGTCAAAGTTTTTCAGGTGACTTAATTTATTGTACATCTATATAATAAATGCGAACGTCAGTGTGTCACACGTTTTCAACTTTCTTTACACTTAGAGTGATTTTTTTGCGACAATTTTTTTAGTACGATAATAATTTCTATAACTTGGAAATAAATTTGGGAATAATCACAATTAATTGCGAAATCCAGCGAAAGTCACCCATGAAATAAAAATAATTGTTTGTACGGAAAGTAAAGACCTACTTACATCAAATTGTCTTTAAATCAAGTGGCAGCAGAAAAATTATCGTTGAAATTTTAAAAGGTATGCTTAAATATTAATGCAATACTTAAATTACAGCGATCAGTTTTGAGTTCTGTAATTTATTGTTGCCTATCTACCCCTTCCTACCTATTGTAATGAAGAGCCCTCCGCAGGAGCTAGCTTAAATGCCGTCCAACAGGGCAGCATTTAAGCTAGATTTTAATAATTGCAAACTTACAAGCTGATGTTTCATAACGTGTTTGCAACAGATAAGGTTTGTTCAACTCGAGTCATTTTCAGATCTAATAATCATATTTTGCAACAGAGATTCTGAATAGGTGGTGAAAATGTGAAGAGTACCAAAATTTTTGGTCACTTCTTATAAACGGTACTATATGTTATTTCCAGGTCTCGTCTTTGTTGTTATTATCGCAACATTCCGGCCTTCTTTAGGTGTCCGTGTAACATTAAGGGAATTTCAAAGAAAATAACTTCATCTTGCCGCCATCTGTATTTAGTACACAAGAATGATTTTAAGAAATGAGGAATAAAATAATCGTTCCACGAAGAAACTTTTTTTTTTTTCAAAATAATAAGTGCACCGTACCAAATAAGCAACGTACCAGACGTGGGGGAAAATTGAATGAATCCATTTCATTGAATCGGCACTTGTTAATTCTAACACTTTCAAAACGAAACTGCTCGTCCTCGAGAAATCTTTCTGGCTTCCATCAGAATGGCTGATGCTAAACTTCCAGATGAATTTCTTATTGCGCCTTTTCGATTATTTTTTATTTTTTTCTAACGTGATTTTCCTGTTTCTAAATACTTATAAAAATGTTTTAAAATGTTATCTTTTACTATTCCAATGCGTCTTTTCATTTTGGTGCCACAAGGAAGTTAAGTGAAATGTGTTTTTATATTCTATATCGCATATGTGAAATATCCCCCCAAAAACTTGTAAATTAATTTCCTTCTTTTACACTGTTGATAATTTGGGAATTTCATGTTGACGTTATCTGCTGACGTAGATTAAATGCAATCATTTGATAGGTTTGCTTTTAGGGAAGTTGGTTCTTTGTGCGTTTCTTCTCGTACGACAAGACACAAAGGTGTATCTACCTTCGCGAATTGTATAAGGTGTTCGTTTCAAAATTCCGAATAGGCGACTGAGTACAGCCAAAAATAGAGCAACAACCGAAGTGTTGCGAGTATAACAATAAAAGATGAGCTTACTGATCTGGATAGAAAAGCATATATAATAAAGATCGTATCTACGAGGCTGACAGTGGAAAGTTAATTTTGTGATTGCAATGAGTCACTAGGGTAGTGGCTTCTCACTGTTGTTGAATATAGGAAAATCCCTGGTTTGTTGATTCACTCAGTTAAGTGGCACACGTGATAGACACGTGATATCGATTCGTAACTGACGAAGCAGAAGATTTTCATGCAGTAGGTTGTGGTTTCTTTCTGTAGTAGACTGGTTACAAACCAAGGACTCAGTCTGTCCTGCTATTTAACCCATATCTTTGGGGGAAGAAGAGATACATTTGCCAAGAGTATTTGCGCGTAAGTGAATTTAACAAATCCGACAGGAGTTCGAACACGGCTCTCCGACTTCACACCCTGTGCCGATATCCATTACACTATACTGATTAACGGTTAGACGAAAACTATCTTTTCTTAGGGGTAGTTTCGCCCAACACCGCCAATTGCCATAAATCTAAAACATTAACCTAAAAACTTGAGGCATGTTATTAAATAGCTTCTTCAGATCGATTTTTTTTTACAAGAATGCGACGAATGGTGCCAAACTCGTTCAGAATTACTTAAACTGTTAGCTGCGTGCAACTACATTCTCGAGTCAATGGTTAAAATGGCTTTGAGCGAATTATGACAGCAGTTCTTAACAAAGAGCGTCCTTCTTTGAATATTGTGAATTGGCGCTACAAAATCAAAAGGATAGCAGAAACCATATCACATGAGGACTTTCAACAGCAGCAACAACTAAAATGGTTAGCACATTTAGCTCGAAGGGAAAATAAGAATAATCAAGATGCTGACGTTCCATAGGATTTCAAACAAAAAGAAAGCCGCAATCGATGCTGGAAAGAGTGATAACAGCTAGTGGACTTAAGAAACCTATTTTCCTATGGAAAATTGTTTTAAGAGAAAGATTTTATAAATTTAAACTGAAAATAGCACTAGCTGCTCGGTCAACGATTATCAAATGTTTCCTTATAAGGAAACGATCAATATTATCACCATTTTCTAAACAGTTCTTAGATTTATAGCGGTCCGATATCTTGAACTCACTCACGAATGCAGATATCTACGTAATTTTTAGTCTCTTTTCTATTCCAACAATAATAACGCTACAGCAACAGCTAGAGATTAATGGTAACACGACAAATATCAGTTCATCTACACCAAACAAAATATCTCATGATCAGGGTTCAATAAAAAAAAAGCCTTCTTAAACTGAATGGGGATGTCTCTGCCATATATCACTAGATGGGTCTGTAATGTTATCAACCTTGATCTGGCATCTCGGCTTCTGTCACTTTCTCACCGACGTAACGTGGATTCCTGTGTCTTTTTTTTTTTTTAAATATTTTCATGGCAATTAACTCTCAGCCCCGGCATCACGACCGCATGTATTTAAGCGCACTACTAGATTACCAACTTGGTCCCACTGTTTTGCTACTGAAATAACTGGACGTAACAGTAATTCTAATAGTTTATTCTATCGTACTTCTTTTTTCTGGAACTCTCTTCCGGTTTCTTGCTTTCCTGTCATCTACGATTTTCAAATCTTTAAAAGCAACGCCATTCGCCATCTTCTGTCTTCCTGAACCGTGTTCTTTTATTGCCCTTTCTCCTCACTAGTGTCTTCTCATTTCCTTTCACACTCTGTAACCCCTTGCGTCTTAGTGGCATTATCGCTTTGCGTGTGGGGTGAAACGATTAAAACAAGCGGCATCCATTGATTTTAGTAGAAAGAATACACCGTCAGTAAATATTTAATAACAATTCATATATGTTTATATATGTTCAGGGCACGTGGAATTATCTCTTCTTTTTTGGCACGACTAAAACGAAAATTGGTTCTTGAGCAAAGATAAATAAAACGATAAAGCTGGCAAATATTTTGTTAAACTAATTAATCTTTTAAAAAAAAAATGAAAAATTGGTTTCGATCAAAACTGATGAGTCATTTAACACCAAGCCAAAAACTAGTGAAAGGTAATTATATATATATATATATATATATATATATATATATATATATATATACAGGTACCATATACGCCAGCTGGATGTTTTCCATAAGAAGTGTCTGCGTAACCATCTGTGGAGTTAGCCTTCAACACAGGACATCCAATGTAGACTTGTTTAACAGGTGTAATATTGGAGGAATCGAGACTTTCCTCATACAGCCTCAGTTGCGGTGGACTGGTCATGTCTTGAGAATGTCTGATGACAGGATACCCAAGATCCTAATGTATAGCCAGTTAGATCAGGGCTACAGGAATATAGGACGCTCATGGCTTAGATACAAAGACAAGCTGAAGAACAACTTGTCACCTGTCAATATACCTCATAACACTCTCGAGCGCTTAGCCTTGGAGCGGGTAGAATGGAGATTAACGTTTTAGTGGGCCCAGCAGCTTTACATCTGCTAGTCTGAATAGTCTTCAGGAAGCGAGAGCAAAATCTAAAAGGTCAGCCAATCTAACAGTGATATCATCCCACAATCCTCGCTCTTGATCCATATGCGACCTCCTTTTTCAAATCACTTGCGGGTTTTAAATGCCACTTCACACTATCGCACAAAATTCATAACTGAATAAATTGGCTAAGTTGTCAGATCTTCATGCGTTGTAACTGACGGGAGAGTCCCTTATATATATATATGAAGATGTCTCAAAAAGGTATATACATTTTTAAGCTTTCTGAAGAAATAATTCAAGCAACTAGAACCAACTATATCGACTAATTTAAGTAATGCGCATGAAGACTATTTACTATAAAAGTCTGTTATTTACATTGTTCGAACTGTTGCTCTCATCTTTGTTGCCATATTTAAGACATTTCGGTCGTTGTACGCTTCTTCAAGTGATTGGAATTTCGAGCCGAATCCTTTATTTAATCCACCGAAATTTATACATTTCGGCAGATTGTTCTAGTTCCATGTGCCACGCCTTCGTCAGATATCTCAGTAGCAGTTATTTCCCTTTAACTCAACTTTTCAAGTTTTTGTTCACTCATGCCAGGTATTGAACTCTTTGAGTCAAGTCACGGGATTATTTCAACTTTTACTTTTATCCACTGGGCCATGTGTCCTTAAGGATATCAGTGTATAAATTTTTGGGACTTATAAACCTTAACTGGTTGTAAGCTCGAGGATGCTAAAAAGATAAGTCGTTATGTGAGGAATAACTGTGTATGCGCTTGTGTGTTTGTGTTTGTGTATAAATGATTTAGGAGGAAAAGGCGGAAATGCAAGTGTGTCGGGAAAACAAAGTAATTAAATTGAACCCGTCAAAATACGTTGACATTTTAGCAATAAAACTGTCAAAAAGAGTATTGGTTGGGCGGCCTTGAGGCCATATTACTATTATTTACACCAATATCAATAGAATTTTCCAGACACCAACACAACTTTATCAT